TACTAGTGCTGCACTGGTTGAGAAGTCTGAAAAATCTAAGTAAAGGGTAAGCACTTCCCCTTCTAAAGGGCTAACCAGAACTGAGGGAGTGCTCAGATAGTCCTTCAAGGCTCTGAACACTTCCTCACATCGGGTATCCCATTGAATTGTCCTCTTTAAGACTTGAAAAAACGGTTGGCATTTGTCGCTTGATTTGGATACAAAACGGCTTAGGGCGGCTATTCTTCCTGTCAAACACTGAACTTCTCTAGTGTTGGAGGGCGGCTTCATATCCATTACTACTTTAACTTTAACTGAATTAGCTTCAATTCTCTTGCTACTGACTACGAAACTGAGGAACTTTTCCGCAGATACTCCGAAAACATATTTGGCAGAGTTAAGCTTCATTTTATATTCCTTAAGGACTTGAATGACTCTGCTAGGCACTCAACATGAAACTCTGCCTTTAATGATTTTACTAGCATATCATTGATGTATACTTCCATTGTCGTCCCAATCTGTTTCTGAAACATTCGATTTATCAAGCGTTGGTAAGTGGCTCCTGCATTCTTCAGTCTGAAAGGCATTACTTGATAGCAGTATGTTCCTTGCTCCGTCACAAATGAGGTCTTCTCTTGATCGTTGTGATCCATTCTGATTTGATTGTAACCGAAGAAGGCGTCCATGAAGCTCAGGAGCTCGTACCCTGTGATGGCATCTACGATCAAGTCTATCCAAGGTAAAGGAAAGATGTCCTTAGGGCAAGCACAATTGAGGTCGGTAAAGTCGATGCAGAGACGTCATTTTTCATTGGTATTCTTAACAAGGACCACGCCAGCTAACCAGGCGGGATAATCTACTTCTCTGATGGTTTTGGCATGCAAAAGCTTGTTTACTTCTTCATTGATGGCCTTTTGCCGCACGGGGGCAAAACTTCTTCTCTTCTGTTTAACGGGTTTACTAACTGGTTTCACACTGAGCTTGTGCAAGATGACTAAAGGGTCGATTCCCGTCATATCTTCTTGCTTCCAGGCAAACACTCCTATATTCTACTTCAAGAATTAGATGAGAAGGTCTTTAATTTCTCTACTTAGCTTATATCCTATGTAGACAAGATGTTCTGGTTCTTCGTCAAGCTGGACTGGTTCCAACTTTTCCGACGGTGTTGGTCTGGTGTCCAGCTCGTCCCTCATGTCGAGCTCATCCAGTTGAATATTTTCGATCTCCTTCCTTTTGACAAGCGCCATGCAGAATTCCCATGCCACATGTTGGTCTCCTCTAACCACACCAACCCCATTCTCCTTAGGAAACTTCATAACCAAGTGGTAAACTAAAGGTATAGCTCTCATTGCGTTGAGGGAAGGTCTCCCAAGCAACATGTTATACGCCGAAGGAGCATCAACTACCAAAAATTTTACGGAAATGGAGGTCTGACAGGGAGGGTCCCCAATTGTGAGCATGAGTTGTATCGACCCCAGTGGTAGTATCCTTTCTCCTGAGAATCTCAACAGGTGAGTAGTTACTAGCTCGAGCTTTTCTCTGCCTATCTCCATCTTATCAAACGCTGGCGCAAAGATGATGTCTACAGAGCTCCCATTGTCAATTAGTACTCGATGAATAGTTCTGTTGGCAACAACCGCTCTTACTACTAAGGAATCATCATGGGAATACTGGCAGCCTTCCAGATTTGAGTCTAAGAAAGTGATGGGTATGTCCAAACGTGGAGTCTTGGATACAGTATGTACTTCCAGTGTTTCATCAGCTCTGATTCTTCGCAAGTGTGTTTTCCTAGCTTAGTTGGATTCTGCTCCTCCTGCAAATCCTCCTGATATTACTCTGATTTCTCCTAGGGATTGTTGATGCTACATAAGGGCTTGCTGCTGAGGTACTGGGGGCGATTGAGCTCTGTTCTGATTATCATGGGCAATAAAGCAACGCAACTGTCCCCTTTGGATCAAGAACTCAATCTCCTTCTTCAGCTCAATGCAGTCATCAGTATGGTGATTGTGGTCTCTGTGATACTCATAATATTTTACAGGATCCCTCTTTGTTGGATTTGCCTTCATTTGAGAAGATCATCTTAAGAACTTTTTGTTCTGCACCTCATACAAGATCTGGGACACTGTGGCAATGAGTGGAGTATACTGCTGAGGTGCATACCTCGGCTACAACTCAGGTTGTTGGGGACCCAAACGATCCCTGACATTTCCCCTCTTTTTTGGGGAACGGTCTCTATCTCTCCTGGGAGATCTGTCTCTTCTTGGAGACCTGTTTCTTTCCATTTCTCTCCTAGGACTTCGATCCCTTTTCTTTTCCTCCTTTTCTTTTCCTTTCTGCGAAGACGAGCTCCCTACCTTTGAGAGTAGAGCTTCTTCGCCGTTTATATACTTCTCTACTTTAGCCAACACCTCAACCATGCTTACTTAAGGATTTTTAGATATGGAGAACATCAAGTCCTTTGACTGTACTCCATATTCTGCTATGAAAGCAGTAATTGCAAATTTCTCATCTGAGACGTCTACCTTTAGGGATTCCGAGTTAAACCTTTGAACATAAAACCTTAGGTTTTCTTGAGATCCCTACTTCATATTTAGCAAATGGTAGCCCAGCTTTCTGTATGTCCGAGCTCCAATGAAATGAGATACAAAGGATATCGAGAGTCCTTTAAACGAGAAGATCAAGGCTGGGGAAGCCGGTTAAACCATGCTAAGGCTGATCCTTTCAAGGTTATGGCAAAGGCGCGACAACGAACAGGATCTTGATATCCATGCAACTCCATCTAGTTTTTATAAGTATTCAAGTGGTCCATAGGGTCTCTGATTTCATCAAAAGCTTCTACCTGTGGCATTCTGAATTTCGGCGGGAGGGAGAAATGCAATACCCTAGGAGTAAACAGGGACTCGATTTGCTGCATCAAGGCATCCATGGTTATTGGGGTTTTACTCCTCATGGCCTCCTTCATGTGGCTGAGCTCCTATTGAATATCTTTAAAGCGCTGCTCTCAATATTGATCTTTAAATCGGTGTACTTGTAACGAAAACAATCGTTCCCAAAAACGGCGTCAAACTAATAGTGTAAATTAACGTGGATGAACATAATATATGAATTATGCTTGGCAACTTAGATCTGAGCCACAAGGCTCGTGATGATCGTGAGAAGTTTTGTTGAGGGTTTGGAGGAATTTACACAATGAAGATATAATGGTTCACCAACTCGGTAGCTCGACTAATCCACTCTTTTAATGGAGGCTCTTGTTCTTTTCATTTTTATAATGAGGAATGGGGTTTACAGTATGTCTTTTACACCACTAGGGATTCTTGCCTCATCTTGGAGGCATGTTACAATATTTATAGTGCAATTTCAATTCCTAAGGATTCTTAGGCATGATCTTAGCGGAGTCTTCTTTGATTTTTGGGGAGAGAATCTCAGTTGGTTGAGAGTTTTACGCCTGAACTCCAGCCCCGCTGTCATCTCGTGTTTCCTTATCCTCTCTGCTATTGACTTGTCTGGGGCGGATCTCCAGCTCGGGTCCATTGAGCCCTGCTTATCTGGTCAGACCTCCTGACCTGACTTCGGCTCCTGGGCTCATACTTAGCTGAAATTCCTTCTGGGTATCATCAAAACTATAGAGATATTAAAGCATAACCGGCAGTATAAAATTGAGATGCAACTAGAGCATAATTGTATAAAGCAACTTTATCAAGATATTAACTTCACTTGTACTGTGTGTGTGTGTGAGAGAGAGAGAGATCTACATTGGTATTTTGAGAAAGCTCATAAATGAATAAAAAGAAAAACTATGTAGCTATTAGAACTGGACACTAAGATACATCCACATAATAAAAAACAAAATACAAACCAGTCATAAAATTGTAAGTGTGAAATAGTCCATTGACAATTGTTGTCTTACCTTAACGTGGAACAGATGTGTGAAGAAACTCACCCAATCATGGTGCGTTTTCTACCTCTTTGTCGGACTGTAATAAGTTGTGAATAAATAGAAAAAGATTAACGCGAGAAGAATCAAATCTCAAAAACCAGAAAGCAAATGTAAGATGGGAGGATTGCACCTTGAGCTAGCTTGTTGAATGTTGATGACCACTGCTTCGAGGACTTCCTATATGCGGCAAGTATCCGATCCATCTATTCAAAAATGAAAAACCATAAGAGAATTAATTTCATCTCCATAAGGCTCTGTTTGAATCTTCAGGAAAAATTTTATTCACAAATGGCCGGTGTCTTAGAAAAAATACTTTCATAGAAATAGGTATTACACTGGCATTAACACTATTTTTAATGTGCATACATGCATGTGTGTAAGATGATAAGATGCTGATGATATAAAGCCACCATAGAACATGTAGCCCAATTGTAGTTTTTCCAATGTCACCACTCTGAAAACAACAATTTTCGTTCCACTCTTTGATCAGTCCCCCCCCCCTACTATTAGATCTTTGGCTTCACTTCTAATCTGCCTCTGCAATTTTCATCTGATACACAGACGTTTCAGCCTTATTGAGATCAACTTCACCAGCCCAAGGCTCCTCTAAGGGAAAAGTTTGAAGTTACAAATGCCATAGGGTTTAGAAAATTTTTTGAAAATAAAATTGTAACACAATAACTGATGAGAAGATGCTCATCCACCATTTTGGCCATTTCTATTCGTATATAATGAAAAAAGATGGTCTACTGCCAAGGCTCCCGCAGCTGCAAGGTCTGGAGGGTCAGAAATACGTACTATATTCTTAAATAATACAATACAATTTTCTTTCTCAGAAAATAACATTTCTTTGAACAAACAAAAAGAAAGGGGGGGGGGGGGAGAGAGAGAGAAAGAGAGAAACACTAATGCTCTGTTTAACTGCCAAGAAGACATGACAAAAGACCAAAACATTCCAATTTTCCATTTCTTTCCTCGATCTCACTAAAGATCAAGGGAACCGTAGAGAAAATAAGAATGAAGGAATAAGATTGACTATTCTCACCACATTTCCACATGAAGAATGCATGGAAAGCAAAGCTCATTCAAGAACATATAAATCAACTGCTTTATCTTCTGGAAGAGTCGATGTGAAGCTCAGACCGAAGTCAATAAGTACCTAAGCAAAATAGGAATGAAAAATATAGTAACATGGAATCTTTGTAAGAAAGAAAAGTGCTACAAGCCTACAACTGTCCCCACTCCCGTCTTCCACTCCATCTCCCAGCAAACCCCCCCACCCCCACCCCCCAAAAAATAAAACAAACAAATAAACAAAACAAAGGAAGATAAAAATAACTCCACTGGGAACATGTGAATGAAGAAAAAAAAATTAACAAAACATATTGGAATAAAATAAATTGAAATCAACACACCCACCAGCTGATTGGTACCACTCCGGATCAACATGTTTGATGTAGTCAAATCACCATGAATGAGGCCGCCATCATGTAGTCTGCCAATGGCATCACCGATCTGAGTTGCAATATCATCCATCCGCTCTTCAACAACACCATGTAATCCGAAATCAAGAAAATGGTCTTTGACAGAGGAACCCTCCACGTACTCAAATGTCAGGGTATGCAACACTGGGTCAACAGCATAAAGAACTGCAGTTGAAACCCCAAGTCGTCTAGCTTTTGTCATGCATCTAGCCTCCTCCTCCAGCATTAAAATTGAACAAAGTCAGTTTCAATTCAACTGAGTCATTGCTTAATTGGGATAAGGATCAGAAAGGTGATTCCAATTAGAAAACTAACCTCATTTAAGTGCTTGAGAGTAAGCTTCGAGCCCAAAGATGGATGTCTGTACTTCTTTGAAAAGCGTTCCTTAACTATAGACTTCCTTCCCACAAACATTGACTCAAAAACTCTCTAACCAAAGGACAAAAAAGGAGATATAACATAAAAAAAGTTGGACAAGTATGAACGCCCTATAAAGCTAAATAAATAACAGCAAAACCAGAGTACAAGATTATGCCATCTAAGAATTCTATTCGAGAACCCAAAAATAGATAAATAAATTAAGTGAAGCTCATCCTGTACAAAAGAGGATTACCGACTATACACATTCCAACTAAATAACAAAAAAAAGGAAGAAGTAAGACTTTGCAGTTGTTGTCCACTAGAACGTCAATAAAATTAGTCCAAACAAGCTGTCAGGATTTTATAGGTTGTACAACAGAACTTAAAAAAAATGAAATTATAACTTACAGCTTCCGCGCCTTGCTTAATCAAGATTAACGAGCCTTCTTTTCCTTCTGGATTTATCTCCATAATGAAAGATTCAGTGATACTGCAGTTACCCCAAACTATACGCTATATCTGCTATAAGACAGACAGAACCATCACAGAGGGAAAAAAATTAATCCACAGAACACATATAGGAAGCTCCAACAAAGTAAACTGTTTTACCAGCTTCTTTAATTTTATACATACTGAAGGAGAATTCAACACCAATGATATGAATAAGCACTAATATCACCACAATAGAGTAAGGAAGACTCTAATCAGTGGAGTCAGGTCAAATGCACAGAAAAAAAAAGGGCCATTAATCAAGTTGGTCCCAATATATATTGTGCAAAACTCATCCAATAGCCTTAGCATGCCCTTTCAGTTAATGGGTCCGGAAGGGATTTAGCCAAAAAACACAAAATATTTTTGTTTGTAGCAATTAATTACCCAATAATTTCTGTATCCAACCTTTTCCTTCCCTGCGTCAGCGCGTGTGTGACTTTTTAGTTCATATAAAACCACCATGCGCATAATTATCATATAGAAAAACCCATATAAACAATTAAATTAGAAAGTATTTCAACAACATAATCCAATCTCCCCGGAACTGAAAGTAACACACAGAAATCGTACAAGTGATCGTGATGCAATGGACAGTACACTGGGAGAGAGAACAGTAAGAAAAAGTCTAAAAATGGGGGATTTGAGAGAACAAAGTTGGTTAGCAATTACCTATAGTAGTTGATCAGCGTCTTGGCGGCGCAAGATACAAAAGCACACCAGAACCGAAACTTTCCTGCTTTTGAAGAAGACGAAGAAGAAAATCAACTGCCCAGAAAAAAAAAACCACGAACTTTACACGGTTTTGCCCGAACCCGTATGCCAATGGGTTGGTTCATCCGAATGGACCAAAGCCCAACTGCGAACGACAATTGAAGCGGCGTCGTTTACGTAGTCAGTGCTTACAAGACTTTGACAACGTCATCTTGTAGATGGATCAGGACCAGCCAAGTAAATTATAGAGTCCAAATTGAGTGTAACCAATTTTTTTAGACCGCAGACATTATATACATTTATTTAATCAATTAGACTGTAATTTTCTACTTTTTGAGTAATTTTCAAGCAATTTTTAATTTTTAGATAATCCAATGTTTTTCATTTTAGAAAAGAATTAAAAAAATTAATAATAAATCATAAGAGAGTTTGAATTTAGCGTCGCCAATTTTTTTATACTCCAGACAATATGTACTTTTATTTTAATCAATTAGACTATAATTTTCTATTTTTTTAATAATTTTCGTCCAATTTTTAATTTTTTTATAATCAATTTTTTTTACTTTAGGAAATAATTGAAAATTTTATTAATAAATTATATGAGAGTTCGAATTCAGCGCCGCTAATTTGTTTAGACTCTAAACAATATGTAATGTTATTTTAATTAGTTAGATTGTAATTTTTAATTATTTTAATAATTTTTGTGTAATTTTTAATTTTTTGATAATTTTTGAATAATTGAAGATAAGGTAGAATAGTTAGCTAAAATGACCAGGATTCAAAATGAATTGAGGCAAGTGGAATTAGATTTGGATCGAGCCAACGATCAAGAATTATCGCTATGCGATAAGCTCAATCAATTTTATGCCAAAGTCCACTGTTAGGCCCTCAAAATCACATTTTTTTTTTATTTTAGAAAAGAATTTGAAAAACTAATAATAAATAATTGGAGAGTCCGAATTTAGCGCTAGAAATTTCTTTAGACTCGAGGCAATACGTACTTTTATTTTAATCAATTGGACTGCAATTTTTTATTTTTTAATAATTTTCGTATAATTTTTTATTTTTTCATGATACAATTTTTTACATTTTAGTAAATAATTAGAAAATTTAATAATAAATCACATGAGAGTTCAAATTCAGTGCCACCAATTTTTTTAGACTTCAGACAATACGTACTTTTATTTTAATTAGTTAGATTGTAATTTTCAATTATTTTAATAGTTTTTGTACAATTTTTAATTTTTTGATAATTTTTGAATAATTGAATATGACATATAATATGTGGTTGAAATGGCTCGGACTCAGAATGGATTGAGACAAATGGAATTTGATTCAAATCAGGCCAACGATCATGACTCATCGTTATGCGATGAGCACTGTCAGTTTTGTGCCGAATTCTATCGTTTAGGCCCTCAAAATCGCGTTTTTTTATTTTAGAAAAAAATTCAAAAAATTAATAATAAATTATAGGAGAGTCCGAATTTAGCGTTAGGAATTTTTATAGATTCCAGACATTACTTACTTTAATCAGTTAGACTACAATTTTCTAATTTTTAATAATTTTTGTGCAATTTTTAGTTTTATATAATCCATTCATTTTGGGAAAGAATAGGTAAAATTAATAATAAATTATACAAGAGTCTGAATTCAAAACCGTCAATTATTTTATTCTTCAGACAATATGTACTTTTATTTTAATCAGTTAGATTGTAATTTTTTATTATTTTTATAATTTTTGTGTAATTTTTAATTTTTTGATAATTTTTAAATAATTGAAGATGATGTAGAATATGTGGCTTAAATGATCCAAACTCATAATGAAATGAGACAAGTGGAATTTGATCCGAATATGGCCAGCGATCAAAACTCATTGCCATGCGATGAGCTCCGTCAATTTTGTACCGAATTTTATCGTTTAAGCCCTCAAAATCATGTTTTCTTATTTTAAGAAAAAATTTGAAAAATTAATAATATATCATAGGAGAGTCCGAATTTAGTACCATGAATTTTTTTAGACTCCAGACATTACGCATTTTTATTTTAATCAATTACATTGGAATTTTTTATTTTTTAATAATTTTCGTGTAATTTTTTATTTTTTGATAATTCAATTTTTTTAATTTTAGGAAACAATTAGACAAATTAATAATAACTCATAGGAGAGTCCAAATTAAGCACTGCTAATTTTTTTAGACTTCAGATAATGTATACTTTTATTTTAATCAGTTATATTGTAATTTTTTATTTTTTAAAATAATTTTGGTGTAATTTTTAATTTTTTGATAATTTTTGAATAATTGATGATGATTTATAATAGGGGGCTGAAATGACCCAAGACTCATAATGGATTGAAACAAGTAGAATTTGATTTGGCTCGGACCAACATTCAACACTCATCGCTGTGCGAGTACTAAATTTCATTGTTTAGGTTCTCAAAATCGTGTTTTTTTTATTTTTAGAAATAATTCAAAAAATTAACAATAAATTATAGGACAGTTCAAATTTCAATCACAAGAGAGTTTGAATTTAGCGCCGCCCATTTTTTTAGACTCTAAACAATATGTACTTAATCAGTTAGATTGTAATTTTTTATTTTTTAAAATTTTTTGTGCAATTATTTATTTTTTGATAATCTCATTTTCCCCATTTTAGCAAAGAATTTGAAAAATTAATAATAAATCATAGGAGAGTCCGAATTTAGCTCCACTAAATTTTTTAGACTCCGCACAATACATATTTTTTATTTTAATTAGTTAAATTATAATTTTTTATTTTTTAATAATTTTTCTGTAATTTTTAATTTTTTGATAATCCCAATTTTTTTTATTTTAGAAAAGAATTCAAAAAATGAATAATAAATAATAAATCATAGGAAAGTCTAAATTTAGTGCGCTAATTGTTTTAGACTCCAAACAATATGTACTTTTTTATTTTAATCAGTTAGATTGTATTTTTTATTTTTTAATAATTTTTGTGTAATTTTTAAATTTCTTTGATAATCACATTTTTACCATTTAAAAAGAATAAAAAAATTAATAATAAATCATAAGAGAGTTTAAATTCAGCACCGCCAATTTTTTAAAACTTCAGAGAATACATACTTTTATTTGAGTAATGCTACATAAACTTAAAAAGTAGACTTAAAAACTAGATTTGATAATCTCAACCATTGATTTTACTATGGATCCCAACATTTATTGGGACCCACTACCTAATCAATGGTTGAGATTATCAAGTCTACTTTTTAAGTACATGTAACATTACTTCTTTTATTTTAATCAGTTAGATTGTAATTTTCTATTTTTTTACTAATTTTTGTGCAATTTTATTTTTTTGATAATTTTTTAGTAATTCAATTTTGCCCCGAATTCTATTGTTTAGGCCTTCAAAATCTAATTTTTTCTATTTTAAGAAAAAATTCAAAAAATTAACAATAAATCAAAAGAGAGTCCGAATTCAATACTGCCAATTTTTTTAGCCTCTAGAAAATTCGTACTTTTTATTTTAATAAGTTAGGTCGCAATTTTTTATTTTTTAATAATTTTGTGAAAAAATTAATAATAAATCATAAAAGAGTTTGAATTCAATGCCGCCAACTTTTTTTGACTGCAGACAATACCTACTTTTTATTTTAATCAGTTAGAATGTACTTTTCTATTTTTTAATAATTTTTCTATAATTTTTAATCCTTTGATAATTATATTTTTTTTTATTTTAGGAAAGAATTCAAAAAATTAATAATAAATCATATGAAAGTTTGAATTCAGTGCCGCCAATTTTTATAGACTCTAAACAATACTTAATTTTTATTTCAATTAGTTAGATTGCAATTTTCTTTTTCTTTTTTAATATTTTTTGTTTAATTTTTAATTCGTTAATAATCCCTTTATTCTATTTTTAAAAAAAAATTCAAAACATTAATAATAAATCGTAGGAGAGTCTGAATTCAGCGTCATCCATTTTTTTAGACTCCAAACAACGTACTTTTTATTTTAATCATTTAGATTGTAATTTTTTATTTTTTAATAAATTTTCTATAATTTTTAATCATTCGATAATCACATTTTTTTCATTTTTGGAAAAGAATTCAAAAAATTATCAATAAATCATAAGACACCGCCAATTTTTTTATACAACAGACAATACATACTTTTTATTTTAATTAGCTAGAATGCAATTTTTTATTTTTTAATAATTTTTTTTTATAACTTTCAATCCTTTGATAATTTTTTTTTTCTATTTTAAGAAAGAATTCAAAAAAGTAATAATAAATTATATAAGAGTCTGAATTCAACGACGAAAATTTTTTTAGACTCCAACCAATACGTACTTTTATTTTAATATGTTAAACTGTAGTTTTTTATTTTGTAATAATTTTCGTGTAATTTTTTAATTTTTTGAAAATCTAATTTTTTTTTTAATTTTTGGAAAGAATTAAAAAAATTAATAATAAATCATATGTGAATCCAAATTCAACACCACCAATTTTTTTAGTCTCCAGACAATACATACTTTTATTTTAATAAATTAACTTACAATTTTCTTTTATTTTTATTATTTTGTGCAATTTTTAATTTTTTAACAATTTTTGAATAATTAAGGATGATGAAGGCCTAGGCAAAAATTTTAGATGGGCTCCAAAATTATTTTTATATGAATAATTTTTTTTTATTTTCAAATATTGAAAGTAACATTTTTAAATTAAATTAACTTAACTCAAAAATTTTAGTTCAACAAAATATAATATATAGCTAGGCCAGAGTTATTACAAATTCAGATAAAATAAGAGCATAAATCTTATAATATTTTGTGTAATAATATGGTGCAATCTTTTTTTTCTTTTTGAATATACATATATTTATGATTTAAAGAATAATATTTTTAAAATCTTTTTGATCATTTTACAAAACATATTTTTTTTTTATTTTTTATAAATTTATTTCTATAATTTTGTGAAATATATGTGAATGGAATCCTGAGCGACTGCCTCACTTACCTAGAGATAGAGCCGGCACTGAGATGGATCATGTGGATTTGAATCCCAGAGGCGTCCAAAGACATAACCCCCAAGTAGCATTTCTCACTCAAAATGTGGATACGTGTCTATGTTTAATTGTGTTCGTCTCAACTCATTTACTTAACAAGTAAACAGTTTACCTATTTATCATCCAAACCTATTATAATTGTACTGAAACTTAATAATTTTTTGTCAATCCCTAGTTTGCATCCAGTGTCTAAAATTAATTATCAAGCTTGTTTGCATTTGCATCCAAATAAGAGAGCCAACTGGCCATGGCCACGGCCACGACCAGTCTTGGTCTACACCCACCACAACCTGAATAAGGTGACGCCTCTGTAACAATAAAAAAGATCTGATCAAACCATCCAATGATTTACTTTCCTTTCCTCATGAGGAATTACAAGATCAAATGACCCCTTTCTGTTTACAACAACCTCAGAACACAAGTTCTACCTATGTAATGTAAGATTTCTCATGAAAGCAGAACCTCGCCAACATTTTCACTCCACCTGGCCAAGGATTATATATAAGCTTATTCAGCATATGCCACAACCAAACATAATTATAATTCTGAAAATATCTTCACCATTTGTAAGGTCCGGTCCATAAACATAAACACCATCAACAATAGGCTTCTCTAGAATTCATAATATCTCAGAGGTAAGTTGAGTCGTTATTATCACATAAAAGATAGGAGCAATTATAGATAATGACAGGTCATGCCAAGTAACAATTTTTTTATTTTTTTTTTGTAAGCTGTCGGGTGTAGAGGTATTTTTTTGGGTCAGAATTCAAACGGGTATAGAGGTGACTATCTTTTTTTTTTATATATAAATGCTCATGCCTAGGTCATGAGTTTCACGAGAAAAGAGAAAAAATGACTAACCTTGACACTGAATAGAACGATACTATCAGAAACTTGTTGGCCAGCTGTAACTTGAAGCCCACTGACATAACCAGCTGTTGGCGCCTTTACAACATGCTATCAAATAAAAATAAATAAATTTATTTCCCAACCTTTGAATAGAAATTGGTGTAAGATGGAATTTTGTAACCAGCTAGAGTACAAACCTCCATCTTCATCGCTTCTAAGACTACTATAGGTTGCCCTTCCTCAACCTTCGTCCCATCCTTTGCCAAAACTTTAACCACTAAACCAGCCATGGGAGCCACCACAGCTCCTGGAGGGTGTGATGCTGTTTCAAAAGCAGGTTTGTGCTGGGTTTCTTCATCATAACAGAGATCAAGGCCCAGTTTTTGTTTGAAATGCTGATGTTGTGACCCATGCCACATATGGATGTGCTCGTTTTGATCCTGCAAGGTAAAATATTTATCAGAGAGAGGGTGTTAACTGAGACTCCTATCCTAAATATCCTCGTTCTTAGTGAGCATTAACTCAATTGAGAACATCATAAACAAATATTTTGAAAAGTAAAAGACGGTCTTTCTTATCCATGGATTGGGACTCCTGAAATGTAAATAGGTATAGCATTAGGTCATTTTAGAACAGGATATGGTCATATGATCACCCCCCCGAAAGGAGACAGTGATTGCACCACTATGCTTCATGCCAAGAACAAAAGTTCCCATAGAAATAGTAATCCTTACTATTCCTATTTGTGCAACTAGCTCTATACAATTGATGCAAGACAATAGACATTTTGCTTTCTGCATCAGATGCGTAGAAGAAACAGAGTAAAAATGTCCCTTCAACATGGAGAGAGAGAGAGAGAGATAACTAGATACTGCAAGTAAATTTTTCAACAAGCCTCCATTTTAATGTCCAAGCAATGATGCACCGTGCAATTATTTTGTATGTGGATAACAACATAATATTAAGACATTAATTACTGCAGAGCAGGTCGAAACACTAAAAACCACTAACGGTCAGGCGAGCTATATATGACCATTAAAACTCCCATTAGTTTAACCCGCGTAAGATACATTTAAAATCAGACAGGCAGCATAATATTGACATTCTCAATCTATATGGACTTGCAGGCATGGAAATTATTCCATGTATACTTTTTTTTTTATACTTTATTCCATGTATAATTCACTGAGAAACTATAAGCAGATAAAATTCACCTTGCAATAAACAGCTAGACTGACAGTCATGATTATGCCGTCAAGTTCCACTCTGAAATCATGGTTGCCTAGGTGTGCAACCTTAACTTCCATACCACGGAAACTACTTTCTCCTGTCTGTAAGTACATGTAAAACTTACTGAGTTACCATTTAAATAACATGAGGACAAGAAAGCTTAAACGCAACAAATGACCACAGAATTCTTTTCTGCAATCATACTATAAAAGTACCTCAATGAGATACTTCCCTTCTGGCTGATAAGTTATAGAAAACGACAAACTCTGTGAGCTACTGTTATTGTATTCATTGTCCCACTCAAGTTCCATTGTACGCTTAGGATTATGATGGACTCTGAAAGGGGGATGAGCATACCATATAGAGAGGCCCCCTGCATCGACAGACACAGATTATGACTGCTTTCATGAATAAATAACATATATCCTGAAACAAGGTAAGGTTCTTCAGTACCAGGAGAACTTTCCCTTACAGCTGCAAGTTCCTTTTCACAAAGACAAGCAGCTACCAGGGCTGCATTGTGTTTAGCAGCATCATATGCTTCTTGTGCTGATTCTGAATTACTAGGATCAATGAATAAGTCATCCCTAAAGTGCTCAATAAAATGTGTCTCAACTTCACCATTCTCAAATGCCCCATGGTTAGCAAGCTTCAAGAGAAAATCTATATTGGTTGGCAAACCTGCAACCTGCATAAACAAAGTATCACTAGTAATTTATTCCTGAACAAGAATCTCTACAATAATTTTCCATGCTAATTAGAATCAGTCAGACGTTGAGCAATATGTCCAAGAAGGAAAACAGCAGAGATACACCAAACCGTAAAGATGCATAAACTATGCTTCCCCACAAACAGCATTCTGTCAATTATTTGGTTCATCCAGAAGCCAAAAGACAAGAAATTAAAGCCTCCCAACCATAATCACCATATAATGATCATTGTTTTCAAAAGAATCAAGAATACAGATAGAATCATTTCCCCAGACTGCCTCATGACCCTAGCAATATATGAAAAGAGATTCATCACTAGGGCCAAGAGCACCATTATGCAAAGCTAACAACCCAACATGATTAGCAAATCAACAGTGAACCAAAATATTATGTTCAATTTGTAATACCTGAAACTTTGATAAGCAGTCCCTCATATTGATTAATGCAGTGGCACGATTTTCTCCCCATGCTACAAGCTTAGCAATCATGGGATCATAATGCATGCTCACAATGTCCCCTTGCTCAACTCCAGTATCAACCCGAACTGCTAAATGCCATACACTGAACATAAGAAAAAGGACAAGAATACACCGGACAAAGAGATAATAAATTTTACACTTAAAAGTTAGACAACCAAATCATAACATATGGCCAGTAAAGCATCTAAAACCTTATATGTAGAACTCGATTCAAAAGGACTACAGGCTGCATTGTTAGGTCCAAAGGGCATGTCATCAAAGCATTTTACACTCGAAAGTCACAAAACCTAATCATGACATATGACCAGTAAAGAATTCTACAACCTTATATATAGAACTCACTTCAACAGGATGGCAAGCTACATTGTTAGTTCCAAAGGAATCTAATTGAAGGATAATGATAGTTGCCTGCCAGATAGGTATGATTTTGGCCTAATGATCTTCTAAATGAAGAATAACACAAGGCAACACCAAAACCTCCAAAAAGTGTCTTGCAAGTGTTGTTTATCTTGGTAAGCAACCTATAATAATGTGACCGTACCTGTAGATGAGACTGGAACAGGACAATAGTGGTGAAGAACTCCAGTTGCTGGAAGAAATCCTTTCGGAACATTTTCAGCATATATCCGGGCTTCAAAAGCATGACCTGTAATCAAGTTAGAAAACTATGAAGGTGCTCAAAATCTTTTTATTAATTATATACTGATATATATCCCATTGGAAAAAGTGTGTAAGAAACCATGTACACACAAAGAGTAAAATTCAACAAGTTTCCAGAGAGCTAAACATACAAACTCTTACACCCACCCACGTATGAAAGGAACAGAGAACATAAAAAATGCACATAATAACATTCAAAGAAGTCTATTCTCTCCCTCCTTCAATCCCTCTTTGGTTTTAAAGCATACCAAGTGATACACTGACCAGTAAGACAACATTACATCATATTTCTCTCTTTTTGTTCCATGAACATAACTGAGGATTGCATGAATCATCTTACACTCGCTCTATATTTCAATTTTTCAATACACATCGGCATTTGTTACGATCTTCACTTCATCACTTGTTTTGAGTTCATATAATTGGCAGCAAAAAAGGAAAATAATAGAGATGGTAAAATTCCTTACATGTTCGGTCACTTGGGTGGACGAAGGAAAAGAAAGGAACTGTAAGATTCCAGATTTCCTTACCTCCACTACAAGGGTGACTCGAAAATGAGGTAAATTGAAGCTAAGGATCTTTCAGAAAGAAAACACCACACAGCATTTAATGTGAAAGCTAGAGATATTGTAATAAAAAAAGAAATTGACAAGTTCAAAGATAGTGTAATAAAAAAAGAAATTGACGAGTTCAAAGATATTGAGAAAAGAATAACCTGATAACGGCACCTGCGATTGAGTCAACGGAAGAGGTTCTCCATTTGCAACACGTATTTGCCACTCTACAAGATCTTGACCAACAATCATCTCAGTCACAGGATGTTCAACCTACAAAAGAATACATATGGCTCCTTTTTGGTGGCTGTGATTTGTGGAAAGATAAGTAGAGATCACAGAGCGATCAAACCACCTGAAGACGGGTATTCATCTCCATGAAATAAAACTTCCCTGAGAGAGTATCAACAATAAACTCCACAGTGCCAGCATTGTGATAACCAACTGCCTTTAGAGACCAGACAGGAACTGCAACGTTAGTAAAAAGAGTTGAAAAGAGTATAAAAGACGTATTGATATGTGCACATGAACAAATTAGCTTTCAAAAAATCTAGAAAACAACCCTGACAAAATGAACTACAAATAATCTATTGTGCCTCTGTCCAAGTATAATGAATTGGAAAATGTGTTTCAATTTTAATACCTCAACCATAAGACATCGCCTCATATGCCGCAGAATCTAATTCATTAAATTACTAACTTGCATGTGGTTGAGCTATCAAAATTATTCTCAACTGTGTCCAACTCAAATAATATACATCAACCATCACTTGAAATGAGAACAAGACATTGACATTTTTTTTTTTGAACTGGAGATATCGACATTTAAAAACTAAAAACGAAACTTCAGACCATAAAAGAATAGAACCAAGCAAAAAAAGAAAAGCAGAGATTAGTTGCAAGCCACATTCAAGTCTAACATCAAGAGATAACCCATTGGAAAGCACTGAAGCATGCCTTGAGAACCAATCAGAATAAAAAACATCTCCAGTCCAAGGTCACTAAAACCCAATTTTGAGCCAATGCAGTGAAGAGTCAATCACAGAAGAAGACCAATATAGGATAAATTAAGGATCAAAAACCTAATAAAAAGAACACTTTAAAAGGAAGGAGCAAAGGAAGACAGGGAAAGGACTGACCAAAACATTCTTGTGTCATGTCATAAACAAAGGTTATAAAAATAATAAAACCTACTTGGACGATTTCAAACTAGAGTACATGACATCTACAAATGTAAAACAACAGAAGCATCACTTAACAGTAACACAAGAACACTATGGAGGAAGGAAGAGTTTTACACAAGCCTGCATAAAATGTCCACATAGTCCACACCATTATCATTGCTGTTTTATTAAGTTTTAATGGCTTACTTTCACTATGACAAGTTCATAAACATGAGAGACATGGATAATATAAATACCATGATCAGAAAATCCATCCTGGATATAAAATAAGGCAGCCTATAGAATTAGGGCAGCCCTTCTACAATTAATCATGAACAACTGAAAGTTGCAGTAAATATAGTCCACAGGAAACTAATTCACTAGCACGTCACCTTGGCTGCAGATACAGCAGCCTGACCCAAGTGGGAGCGGAACTCACTGATGACGTTTGGCTGCAAACATGAAGTTTCTGTCACAATTTTAGTAGATCTATAAATAACAATTCACAAACAAAAAATATAGGAAGCAAGCAATACAGCTGGAGCTTCTTCAATTATCTTCTGATGTCTTCTCTGCACGCTGCAATCTCTCTCATACAAATGTATAATGTTACCATGTTTGTCTCCGAATACCTATCACATTAATGAAATTCAAAGAGAATTACATGTTCAACCATATAAACTGTAAACCTGCACAGTAAATAAACCACAACAACAGCATCATCCAAAATTTTGTACAAGAGAGTCTTTCAAGAAACTGAGCACGGAAGGGCAGCTGACTTTTGAATTTAAGATTACTTATAGTGACTTATTATAGAGGAAACATTAAATGAACTAATTTCACAGAATAAGAGTACCTGGACTTCTATGTGCCTTGGCTTCGTAATATATTTCTCCAGCAAGATGGTATTTATGCCGAAAGAAGCAGCAGCCTCACGTTGTGCTCCCAAGAATGAGTCAACAAAATCATTAGGACTTTGCACAATCCTCATACCCTGAAAATAGCCAGAGAAGCAGATAGATAATGGTTTGAGATTTTTCTTTCATCGGCACTAGATAACTGTTGGAGTATAATCTAGTTTATTAGGGTTTCTTTTCCCTTTTTTACCCTTACTATGACTTTATATTTTTGCCTAGACCACAAGGATGTTTAGGTCACTTTGTATTGTTGTTTGACTATATATATAGGGGGCTCTACTCTTCGTTTGAGTATCCCTTTTTGACTAACATATTTCTCTAGTTGATATCAGAGCCAAAACCCCAACCCCTAGCCCCTACCTCTAACCTAACCCTAGCCTCCTATACCACAGCCCAAGTCCACCGACTGCCTATACCCACCCAAGCATCCACCAACTACCCACACAAGCAGCACTGAAACACCATACCTACCAACATAAAGTCATACCCACCAACAGCAACATAGAAACTAACCAAGAAAATACTGTGTCCACTGTCCATACCGACTGCCCATGTAATAATAATATTAGACCACCCTAGATCCAACCCAATAAACCGAAAGACATATTAAATCAGCCCGGCAACCCAATAAAACCGAACTCCTACTACTGGGTCATTGTCCAGCTGGTTCGCGTTTTTCGTTGCAGCTTCATCCTAGGACTTTTTTAGGAGGGAGCGGATCCTCTTCTCCGGTGATCTGTTTTTGATGCAGTAGATCCCTTATTTATCTTTATTGGATTTCTGGACACCGTGATCTGATTATTTGGGAGCTTTTTGGACCTTCTTTATCTGTCGCTACTGTTCGACTAAAGGTATATTATTTTCCTTTATTTTGTCCCTCTATCTATCTTAGTTTTTTTTTCTATCACGGGTGCCCAAGCATTGTTATTGTTATGGCTACTACTGAGGGATTTGAGACCTCTACTTTTAAGACCTCTGTTGTTAGTACTTCCACCTGGAACGTACCTCCTGGTTCTCGTCGGTGTGATTATTGTGACCGACCAAGCCATCTTCGGGCTACTTGCAGGAAGCTCTATCAGGAGCTTAAGCCGCCTCCTCGTAGCCATACTGTTGCTACTATTGAGGTACCAACACCTACTGCCGTTGTTCCTGCTGCTGCTCCTCCTTGGCAAAGTGATATGGATGGTATCATTTTTCGATTGGATATATTTACGTCCGCCCTAACTTCTCAGGGTCCGACTACTGTTACTGCCACTACTACAAGTATACCTCGTGCCTTTCATGCTTGCACCAGTCCGTCCCCCTTTGGATGTTAGACTCGGGTGCGAATGGTCATATGACCGGTGAGGCTCATCACTTCACCACTTTTAACAAACAGTTACATACACAAGTTCAGCTAGCAGATGGGACACATGCCCCTATTGTTAGTAGGGGTACAGTCTGCCACCTAGATGGCATTACATTACATTTGGTTTTTCATGTGCCAAAATTGGCCATGAATCTATTATCCGTACATCAGTTAGCCAGAGATTTTCACTGTGCAGTTGTGTTTTTATCTGATTCGTGTTATTTGCAAAACCTGAGTACCAAGAGGATTATTATCAAGGGACACATGAGAGATAGATTGTATTATCTAGGTGATCCACCTCTATCACCTGCTCTGTTTTTATCTGTTCTTAGCTTGCATACTAGTATTTTGCCTAGTACTTGATGATTTTTCACCACAAACTGTTCAATTGTGACATCACCGTTTTGGACATACAAATTTTAAATATTTATGTATGTTATTTCCTACTTTGAACAATGCTTGTGTTGGTGGTAAACTTGACTGTGTTATATGTTCCCTATCGAAACATGTTCGGACTAGTTATATTCCTCGTATGCACCAATCACCTAAGCTATTTGACCTAATACACTCTGATATTTGGGGACCTTCTCCTGTTACTACTCTGTCAGGTGCTCGATATTATATTATATTTATAAATAACCATACCCGTTGTATTTGGATCTACCTTTTGCATAAAAAATCTGATGTACTCCCTGTTATTACTCAGTTTCTCCAGATGATTAAGACACAATTCAATGTCATTGTTTGTGTTCTTCATTCAGATAATGCCAAAGAATATGTGTTTGATGCCTTAGTGTCTCATCTTTCCTCTCAGGGTATCCTTCAGCAGCTCACTTGTCCACATACTCCTGAGCAAAATAGAGTTGCTGAAAAGTAAAATAGGAGTCTAATAGAGATGGTACGTTATATGCTTAGAGGTATGGGAGAACCAAAATCTTATTGGCATTTTGCTATTTTGACTTCTATCTTTCTGTGTAATCGTACACCGAGTCGTGTTCTTCAGCATAGGACTCCCTTACAAGTCTTATTCCTGAGCGGACAAATTTTTTGATCCCCCCTCGTGTTTTTGGCTGCACATGTTTTGTTCAGGATCGGTCTCCTACTCGTCATAAGCTTGATGATAAAGCGATTCGTTGTGTTTTTATGGGCTATTGTCATCAGTCTAAAGGGTATCGGTGTTATGATCCTGTCAGACGTCGTATGTATCACAGTCTAGATGTTACCTTTCTTGAGCACATTCCTTATTTTTCTTCCAGTCCTGTGTCTGCCATTCCAGTTGATGATACTCCCTTTGATTTTCCGTTATCACAAGAGTCAGAGCCATTGATCACTATCACTATAGAACCCTCAGTCTCTCCTCCTCCAAAGCCACTCGTCCCTGTCAGTACAGAGACACCAGTCTCTCTTCCTTTGCAGGTTTATGTTTGTCGCTTACGCTCTCATCCCCCTACTGATGTCCCTTCTACCTCAGGCGATACAAGTAATACTTTCAGTTCGTTAAGCATATCGATGCACCTATTGTTAGTACTGATGAGATTGCAGGTACTGAGCTAGTTACTTTCCCTGATGAGACATTATCAGTAGAGGATGATGATTTAGAACGTCGTTATCCACAACGTGATCGCCGTCCAGTTATTCGTTATGGTTGGACCGCCAGGACTTTATATCCGATCTCTACTTATGTTTCTTATGGTGATCTTTCTCCTACATTTCGAGCTTATAGTATGGTCTGATCCAATATGCCGGTTCCTCACTTTGTTTCAAATGCTATGCGGGAGCCCCAGTGGGTTCTTGCCATGCAAACAGAGATGGACGCTCTTCAACGTAATCATACATGAGATCTTGTCTCTTTACCTTCAGGGATGAAACCTGTTGACTGTCGCTGGATTTACACCCTGAAGTTTTTTGTGGATGGTACTATTGATCGTCACAAGGCTAGGATTGTGGCGAAAGGCTTTACTCAGGTACCAGGTCATGATTTTAGTGCTACATTTGCCCCCGTGGCAAAATTGACTACTGTTCGGTTTATTATTTCTCTGGTTGCGGTATACTTTTGGCCTCTTCATCAGTTAGATGTGAAGAATGCATTTCTTCACGGTGATCTGGACGAGATTATTTATATGGATGCACCACTGGGCTTTCGTGGTGAGGAGGAGTATGCTGTAAAGGTATGTCAACTACGTAAGTCTCTTTATGGACTGAAACAGTCACCACGAGTTTGGTTCTCTCGCTTTAGTAATGTAGTCGTATGTTTGGGATTCACCACGTCATTCTAATCATACCTGCTTCATTCAACGAAATACTTCTGGACAGTGTGTCATCCTTTTGGTATATGTTGATGATATTATTACTGGAGATTATGTTTTTAGAACTGTGCAGGTCAAGGTAGACTTTGGGAAGGCCTTCGATATGAAGGACCTTGAATTTTGCGATACTTTCTTGGAATTAAGGTTGCCCGTAACAGCAGGGATATTGTTCTTTCTCAGAGAAAGTATGTTTTAAATTTTTCTCAGACACTAGGATGCTGGGGTGCAAACCGGCATCATCACCCATGATTCCAAACCTGAAGCTTACAGTTGAAGGTGAGAAGTTGAGAGATCCGACTGTCTATCAAAGGTTGGTAGGTAGACTTATCTACCTAGCCAACACTAGGCCAGACATTTCATTTGCTGTCAGCCGAGTTAGTCAGTTCATGCACAGGCCGTGTCAGCCTCATCTTGGTGTAGTTTATCATATTCTTCGGTACCTCAAGTTTTGTCCTGAACTTGGGTTGTTCTATGCATCAGGATCTCAAACTGGTTCTCTAGCCTATTATTCAGATTCAGATTATGGGGGAACACATGACGGTCGATCTACTACGAGCTTCTGTACTTTTCGAGGGACTTATCTTATCTCTTGTAAGAGCAAGAAACAGGTAATTGTCTCTCGTTTGTCAACAAATGCAGAGTATCGAGCACTGGCACTTGGCACATGTTAGATTATCTGGCTACGATCGATTCTTGGCGAGTTAGGATTTTCAGTGTCTTCTTCATCTACATTATATTATGATAATCGATCTGCTATTCAGCTCGCTTCTGACTCTGTATTACACGAGAGGACGAAGCATATAGAGACCGATGTTCACTTTCTTCGGGAGAAGGTTCGCTGTGATATTGTCACTCCATTGTTTGTAGGGACCAGTAATCAAGTTGCGGATATTTTTACCAAACCTGTCAATTTATCCATTCTCCAGGACTCAGTTGTCAAGCTTGGCTTAGTTGATATTTTTGCGCCTAACTTGAGGGGGAGTGTTGGAATATAATCTAGTTTATTAGAGTTTATTTTCCCTTTTTTACCCTTACTATGACTTTTTGCCTAGACCACAAGGATATTTAAATCACTTTGTATTGTTATTTGACTATATATATAAGGGGCTCTACTCTTCGTTTAAGTATCCCTTTTTGACTAACATATTTCTCTAGTATAACCAATAACAATCCCAGTTAACCCTTGTTTTCGGCACTATTGGATGGGCTATATCATCGTGTTTGCTTTTTCTCATTAAAACTAAATCATTGTGTTTTTTCCCCCTTTTCTACTAGATCAGACTGGTTAAAACAAGTGAAAGGCAACGGAAATGGTTCATGTGCAACATGGTGGTTACAAAGTCGAAGTGAAAGTTGTATTGGTGAATATGAGAAAATGAATGTGAAGCTCCAAAATATCATATTAAGACGCTTATTTTGATAGGATAGCAACAACTTTGTAAAATAAATCAATGTCAAAGAGCAACCCAGAGAAAAAAATGCTCTAGATCACATCCATTTGTTCAATTTCAATCAATTCCGATAAACAAATTTTCAAGAGTAAAATATCTGGGCATGTTCAAATCCAGTCTTACTAATCCAATAACCGAACAGCTGTAATGAGAAACAACAAACAAAATGAACGTTTGTATACAAAGAAGTCAATAAGTACAGTGATACATTTATCATCCATAAGCTCACGTAATATCAAATAATTGACAACAGAACACTAATGATAGGAGGAAACCTTGCCTCCACCTCCATGAGTTGGCTTTATCAAAATAGGATATCCAATCTTGTCTGCTTCTGACTTCATAAGGTCAATATCCTGTTCATCACCATGATATCCAGGCACAAGCGGTACCCCTGCTGCGCCCATTATCCTCTTTGATGCACTGGTTGGCATTTGAATATATATGTACATAACATTGTGTATATATCAATAAGGGAATGATCAAATAAACATAGAATGTACAACAATACATTTTAGTGGGAACAGGAAAAAGGAAACCACAGAAACGTGCTAAGAGACAACATGCAGTTACATACATAGACAAATCTGTCGAATCAAAAGGCAGTCCGGATATTTGGAAACTATATCTAACTATCATGAGACTATGTTTTCGACCCTGTACACTTGTTCGCAAAAATTTGACTTACAAGAAAACAAATCATAACAACCTCTTAACAAAACAGGACTGGTTGTATCTGCATTAAACCTGAAAAAATGATTTATAAGATGCCCAAAATAAGGCAAAAGTATCCTGTGTCAGGACTAGAAACAATACAAATTTCAACAATTTTTCTTTTAAAGCAAAAACAAATGTCAGCATACATAGGTGGAAATCATAGTTTGCTTCGTATTCCCAACCCCAATGGAATTACACACATCCACACAACCACAAACATGGAAGGGTAGGGCAGCTTCCTTTTCTATCCATCGTACCTTACCTTTATTCAAATTCTCCATCCGTCACTAAATAGAGCAAGAGAAGGGGAGAGGCAAGGAGGTCTAAATAAGGATTGCCAAAGAAGTTAAGCACCACCATGATTGAGGACTAAGAAGGAATGAACAGAGAGAAAATAAATGTAGAACCCTCATGTAAACGAAATACCTTTTATCACCCATGTCCCGTATTGCAGATGCAGGAGGACCAATAAAAGTGAAACCCCCATCTTCACAAAGTTGAGCAAACTGAGCACTTTCTGATAAGAAACCATAGCCTGGGTGGATTGCCTGATGATCACAAAAAAGGAAAAAAGAAGATTTCCACTATGAATGCATGCCCTTACATGGCCCAGAATACTAAGCAATCAAGTAGATATGGATGTAACAAATATTATCCCAACATAGAGCAAACATTGGACAACAATCAGCCAATCAGATAAAGAAGAAATGCAAAGATGAATATATTCACGCTACAGAAGCAGCTTTTTTTATGCTCCCCTTTTTTGCATATGATCTATTCTAATACTGCAATTGTCATTAAGATGAAAAAGAAATAATAACAGAATTCAAATTCAACCACAATGCCATGTGAAGAATGACTTCAGCTACAACGGAATATTTAGAATCAATGTCCGTCTCAAAATAAAGCTAAATCATAGCGTACCTTTGGGAGTGTGATATTCAGACGTTGAAAATGGGATTAGGGGCAAATAGTTTAAATTAGAACCAATTTATCATCAATTTCAAGACATGGAATTAGGATTAATTTGTTCAAATTTGACCCGATCGATTATCTATTCCAATTCTAAGAGCTCAATCAAATTCTCCCAAAGGCGGCGTAGATTCTTTCTTCTCACTGCCTTTCTTTTCTTTTCTTTTCTTCTCATCTATTTTCTTGTCTTTCTTTTACCTATTAAAGAAAGAATGAACGAAAGAAAGGAGAGAGAACCAGTTTCATCCTTTTGCTTACTTATAGTTCTCTAAAAAATTCTCGGCAACCAAAGAGAAAGTGTGATGCTACTTACATCCCGAAAACACAAAGCAGTATTTCTTGGCAATCAACGCATTATTTAACAAATGGAGAGGGTTAGGTTTTCACCTGAGCACCAGTTCGAATGGCGGCTTCAACAATTGACGAAGCGTTTAAATAACTCAACCGAGCCGGTGGGGGTCCAATTCGAACGGATTCATCGGCGGACTTCACATGGAGACTGTATCGATCGGCGTCACTGTAAACGGCAACAGTTCGAATCCCTAATCTTTTAGCGGTCCTCATTATTCTACACGCTATTTCACCTCTGTTGGCGATCAATATCTTCTCTATTCTTGGATTCTTCTGGACCTTTGGTACTGACGTTGAAGAGAAGAATCGAACTTGAAGATTGAATGGCTTGTGGTGAAGCTTTCGCCGGAGTGAAGATTCCATCGGCGGCATGGTTTCAGCTTCTGTGGGTGCAGTGTTGATTTATCAGTGAGAGGAATAAATTGGGGAGAGAAGATAAAGCTGGTGTTGGATCGTTTTTATAAGTGAAGGTAAACCGCCAAACGAGGTATGGGGTTGCGTTTTTTCAGTGAGAACGCTCAAATTCCTTAAATTTGTTATTTAATTTATGACATTTGAAATATTAAATACAAATTCTTTAAAATTTATATGTGTATAACACTTACGTCCAAATATTATTATATGTATTAGTAAATTATATCAAAATCCCCTGAAATTATATGCGTGTAATATTTAGACTTCTCAAATTTAAAATGATATCCTTAGATAAAAAATATTTCAATCAAAATAAAATATCTGATATTTTAAATTTCATAATCAAAATTTATATTTTATTATGTCCTTTATTGATATAAAATTAAAAATAAAAATCTAATTTGTTCTTATAAAAATTTAATTATTATATAATTATACTATAAAAATAAACAAGCCAAACTATAATTAACTTAACATCTTCTGTCTTTAATTGGGGTACTTTGGCTTCAAGTTTAAAATGTTAAATTTAGACAAAAAATATTCTAATTAAAGATAAAATATCAAATATTTTAAATTTTACAACAAAAATTTATATTCTATTATATACTTTATTGATAAAAAATAAAAAATAAAAAATTAAATTTTCTTAAAAAAATTATAATCAGTATAAAATTATTCTATCTATTGAAATAAAACTAACAAAAATAAACAAAGGGTCAAATTGTAATGGACCCAATATTTTATATCTTTAATTTGAGTAATTTGGTCATTTAATAAATAGTATAATTACGTACTAATTATAATTTTTTAAAGAAAATATTAGATTTTGATTTTTTGATTTTATGTCAATAAATAATATAATAGAATATGAATTTTAGTTATAAAATTTAAAATATTTGATATTCTTTATTTGATCGGATTATTTTTTATTTAAGTATAATATTTTAAATTTGAGAAATTCAAGTATTATACATCTATAAATTTTAGCGGTCTGAGCGTAATTTATTGATGGATATTTGGACAATAAAATCTAAGTGTTATGTGCATACAAATTTTAAGAGTTTGCATGTAATATTCTAAATATAAAGATATCTAAGTAATTAAATGATAAATCTCAAGAGGTATAATTGTAATTCTCTAATTTTTTATTATCCGGGACATTTTTTTGGATATGGACTGCCAGCAGGGGTACGTTAGGTGGTGCTGGCATAGCAACGTGGTCCATATAGGATTACACTATTTAATATTCGTTTAATCTTATCGTCGGTATGGGTGGTGACATAGGATCGTGATAGGATTTTTCTATTCAAATATGATTTGCAAAGTTCTAATTTGAATATTCAACCGAATTTATTTCATAATTGATATTAAAATGCATTAAAAGTTGAGAATTCGATTCGATGTGGCTGCTTAAATTAAAACTAAACACTAGTAAAGCAGATCTTGATTTCAATCTGATTTTCTCAAGTAATTGTTCAAAATTATTTGATCAAAAAATTAGTTAAAATAATTAATTTATATTCCATTAATTGAATTTAGATGAAAATTGAATCATTGCCATATCTAATTTTGTATCAGAGCATTGCTAGCCCAATAATGGAGTGTTGGGCTGATGTAGGCTTTTCTCATCCGAATCTTATGAGTCATTTTATGACCCTTAGACTAGCACTACACGACCTGCATACAGAATCGCAAAGTAAAAAAAAAAAGGACTGTTATATATTATATATAGAACCGCAAAAGCAAGGCCTAAATTGATACCCATTTAATCATGATGTATCTAATCACCTAATTGATTTTACTATCCCCAAGTATTAAAATAAAAAGGACTGTTATATATTATATATAGAATCGCAAAAGCAAGGCCTAAATTGATACCCATTTAATCATGATGTAGCTAATCACCTAATTGATTTTACTATCCCCAAGTATTACCGGTTCTTGCAAATGTTAGAAAATAAATAAACTCAATTTGAAGTTTATTTGGAATCATTAGCCAACATTTAAAGTTTAAGAACGACATGGAGCCATGGGTCTTTAGTGTCAATGTGGCACTTTTTTAATTCTTTTTAGTCTTGAAATGGTATTGGATCTTACACGACAAGAGAACTGATTGTAAATGAAACAACGACACACTAATCAATGATCGTGGAAGCGACAACATCGGTTTAACGAAAGAAATAAGTATTGCTAATAAAATTCCAACAAGAATTGCTAATAAAATTTCAACAAGAATTGTTAAGCTCAAAATGTTAGATACTATAAGCATTGAAGACGTTCAATTTGGGCAGCATTGAGCCATACATCCCATGACACTGCACCATATAACAAGTCTTCAAACCTCTCTTCAACTTTTCAATGGTGTTTAATTTCTCAAACATTTACAGTCTCCTTTTTAGTCATATGGTGTTTAATTAAAATTTGTTGATATAATTTTTTTAAAATTAAATGGGTTAAACGAGTTATGTCGTGTTACCCGTTTATTCAACGGGTTGTGTTCGTGTTGAGATTTTTTATCCGTTTATTAAACGTGTCATGTATGGGTTTATACGTTTTTTACCCGTCACCCGTTTAACTCGACACGTAACCGTTTAACCCGACACGATGACACCCCTATTTCCAACAATAAGGTCAGCACGTGCTAGTGCTAAAAAAAGAGCAGTCGTTCACCTCAATTTATAGGCAAGTGATGGTGGGAAGTTGCCTTGAGTTTGAGTTGTATAAATTTAAATAATTTAGTTATAAACAATTGGTTGAGTAAATTTAAAAAGTTAAATTGTGATAAGTAATTTAATGTAATATTGAACATATTCGTAACATTGCTAATCTATATAAATAAAATGGCTTATAGTATTACCAATAAACATAACTAAAGAGAATTTATTAAAATTAAAACATAAAAGAGAAGAAAATGAAAAGTAAGGGTTTGATAATACTATCCAAATTATATTAAAATAAATCTTATATTAAATAAGACTTTAGTGCATTTATGCATTTTCATTTGAAAATTCACAAACTTATCATCAATTAATGAAAATAGATAAAAATAAATAATAGTAAATTTAATTATTTTAACAATTCATTTTTATCTTTTAAAAGAACAAATATGAAAGACTTGAATGTGTGTAATATTAATGAAGTTTTATTAATATATAAATTTCATATTAATAATGTTAGTATTGTGAGAGTCAAGTTGTCCAATTAAAAGTTTAACATCAATCTAGTCTTATTAATGAGTTTAAATTAAATAAGGATAGTATTGTCTTTATATATTATTTTAAGGTTAAAGTAGTCAATCAAAAGTTTTTCTTAATAATATACTTTTATTAATAGTATAGATAATTATTTATGAATACTTAAAAAAAAAAGTTCCACCACTACCATCCTCACCGCCCCACCACCATCACCACTACCGCCGTCGCCGCCACCCCATCACCACCTCTAGCACAATAACCACCACCTCTACCGCCGTCGTTGCCACCACCACTACTGCCACCCCCACCACCTCCTCCGTTGCTGTCACCCTACTACTACCACCATCACCAACACCACAACCGTTGTTGTCGCTGCTGCCACCACCACTGTTGTCACTGCTGCCACAACCACTGTCGTCGTTGTCGTCGCTACCATTACTGTCGTCATCCCACCCCCACCACCATCACCAACACCACCCCCGCAATCGCCACTACCCCATCACCATCGTCACCCACCACCAATTGCTATTATTGTCGTCCATCGCCACCACCCACCACAATTTTCATCTCATTCTTATATTTATTACAATTATTATTGTCGTCCATCGTCACACCTACCACTACCATTGTTGCTCACCACCATCCATCGCCGCCTACTATCACAACCCAACACCACACATCATTGCCCACCATCACCACCAGTCACTGTCACACACCCCCATCAAACTTACCATCGCCAACTACCACCAATCGTCATCGCCCACCACTGTTGCCACCCACCCCCTACCATATCTACCACTACCACCACCACCGTTATTTACTATAATGCATCAAATTGTCGTCCAGAAAGCACCCGTCGTCGCCCACCACCTCCATCATCACTACTCACCACCACAACGCACCACTGTCGTCGCCCCACCACCACTGCTGCCAACCACCATCACCGTCACCCACAACCACTATTGTTGCCACCCATGACTGTCACTACCATTATCGTCACCAAAATCTACTACTAGCATCACCATTACCATCCATGACTGTCACCATCACCACAATCATCGCCACCTACCACAACAATCACCGTCTCCCACCACCACCGTTTACCCCCACTACAACTGGTACTTAAATTATTTTCTTAATTCTATGTTTGTAATTTGATTTTAGTATAAATATAAATATATTTATTGTTAATCATTTTTTTTATTATTCTTTACCTTCAGGCACAAGTAATAACTATTATTATTATATTATTGCTATTAAAAAATAAAATATAAGATATATTTGATTGTAAATTCAATCTGATAACTACATGTGTATACTGATGAGCCCAAATTCGGCTCCGTCTAGGCCCAATTCTTGGAGTAAGCCCAGACTAGCTAAAAGGCATGTCAAGACCAATTCATGGATTCGGCCTGATCCAAAGTTCAAGGGATCTAGGAAGATTAGCGCACGTGGGGGAGTAATTGATGGGCCAAGCCCAAAGGCCCAACTTGTGTTATAAGCCCGGTCCGAGTTTATAGCCCGACTCCAAGAGATCCAACAAATTCAACCCAATGTGGTCAACCTAGTCAAGCTCATCAGGCTCAAGGAGCTACTACATCAGCAAGGAGCAGGCAAGGTCATCCAAGAGCCTCCTTCTCTACCACCTTGGAGTAAAGGTCATCCAAGGGTCTCCTCTAGCACCTTGGAGTAAGGGTCATCTAAAAGCCTCGTCTATGCCACCAAGGGAGCATCCAAGAGCCTCACTCTCACCACCAAAAGAGCCCAGGAGCCTCACCCTAGCAGCCTAGAGAGAGTCAACCTCC